AGCGGAGGAGGACTACGGAGAGAGTATGTGGGGCGCTATTGCGAGCGCGGCATTCTCCAATCCAACTTCGGCTACGGGGGAGTGTGATTGGCTCACCTTGCATCGGCGCATGGGGCATGTGGCCCTGCCCATCTTGCAGCAGCTAGTGAAGAATGAGATGGTTGCTGGCATACGTGTGAAGGGGGAGCCCGATGAGGTGCTTGGCTGCCCGACGTGCATTCAAGCCAAGTTCACCCGGTTTCCGTTCCCTAGTTCGGAGGCAACGGCAAAGGCACCGCTTGATGAGGTGGTGATGGACGTGGTGGGCCCCCTGAAGCTTGGAGCTGCTGGAGCTGAGTATTTTCTCACCATTGTCGACGTCTACACCCGCATGACTTGGGTGTACGTGCTGGCCAAGAAGAGCGACGTGGCTGAAACGTTGAAGACGGATTGGTTCCCGATGGTGGAGCGGCAACAAGACCGTCTAGTCAAGTCAATCCGCACCGATCGAGGGGGAGAGTTCCTGAGCAAGGAGTTTGGGTTGTGGCTGAAGAAGAATGGTATTCGGCACTCCCTCACCATGCCATACTCCCCTGCAATGAACGGCATCGCCGAGCGAGCGAACCGCACAATCACGGAGGCGGCACGCGGGTTGCTCATTGAAGCCGGGCTACCCGACTATTTCTGGCCTGATGCGGTGCGGAGCGCGTGTGTGGCCAAGAACAGAGCCTTGACTCATGTGGGAGCAGACAAATGGGTGCCCTATGTGGAGTGGCTAGGAAGGAAGCCAAAGGTGGATATGCTTCGGGTGTTCGGGTGCATGTGCATGGCGCTCGTGCCTAAGCATCTTCGGCACAACAAGCTTGGTGCCAAGGCGGTGTGGGCCGTGCACTTGGGCAAGCAAGGGATGGCTTCTTTGGGACCCATTCACCAAGAAGTTCTTGGTGAGCAGGGACTGCAAGTTCATGGAGAACTTCATGTACAAGGATTGGAAGGCGGAGAATGAGGCGAAGATAGGCGTGCGGTTTGGGGAGGTGAAGAGTTCCGGTTTGGAGCATGTGGAGCTGCCTTTGGAACTGAGCAGCGGCAGAACAACCACAAGGCAATCCTCCCTTGTGAATGGGGGAGAGGAGGCCAATGATGCAGAGGAAGAAGAGGAGGAGGTGCAGCAAGTGAGCGAGCGTGCACCGTCACTTCCTTCCCGTACTACGAGTGCTCCACGGATTCGAGCCACACCGCAGCAACGCCAAGGCCTTCAAGTCCCTGCAGCTGAGGAGGAAGGAAGGGGGAAGAGGAGAGTTCAACCCCCTAATAGGCTGACCTATGATGCGCCGGGAAAGCAGGGCAAGACAGCCCTGGCCGGAGCGGCAATGATGGTCGGAGACGACGAGGAGAGTGACTACGAGGAGTGTGCCTTCGCGTTCTTCTCTCCGGTGGAGATGCCGGGAGAACCAGCAACTCTCAAGGAGGCTTTGGAGAGTAGTGATGCTGAGGAGTGGAAGAAGGCCATGGAGAGTGAGCTGAAGAGCATCGAGGAGAATGACACGTTTGAATTGGTGGAGCTACCGGAGGGGCGTACGGCGATAACGTCCAAGTGGCTCTTCAAAATCAAGTCGGATGCCGACGGCAAGATCGAGCGCTACAAGTCTAGGCTTGTAGCCAAGGGGTACCAGCAGAAGGAGAAGGTGGACTTCAAGGAGCTGTTTGCCCCTGTGGTGAAGCCGACGACGCTGCGAACCCTATTCGCGGGAGCCGCCATCAAAGGATGGGTAGTAAAGCAAATGGACATCGTAACGGCATTCCTTAACGGCATCCTTGAGGAGGAGATTTTTATGGCGCAGCCAGAGGGTTTGATGATGGTAGTGGCAGAGTGTGGAAGCTGAAGAAGGCCCTCTATGGGCTGAAGCAGGCCCCTAGGCAATGGTACATGAAGCTGCGCGAAGTGTTGGAGGGGATCGGCTTCACTCCCTCAACGGCCGATCACTCCTTGTTCATGCTTGGCGAGGGGGAGCAGAGGAGTTTCATGGTGGTTTATGTGGATGACATCCTCATTTTCTCACCCTCTTCTGACCTTGTGAAGGAGGTGATGCTGAAGCTTCAAGACAAGTTCAAGTGCAAGGCCCTTGGTGACGTGAGCTTCTACCTTGGGCTCCACATCGAACGAGATGTGGAGAAGCGGTGCATGCGGGTGCATCAACGAAAGTACCTGGAGGCATTGGCTGCCAACTTTGGGCAGAGTGAAGGCCATGTGGCTACACCCTTTCCCTCTGGGTTCAAGTGTGTGAAGGGACCAGAGGAGGAGAGCGTTGGTGAAGAGGAGAGGCGCCGATTTCACTCGTTGGTGGGCAGCCTCATGTATGCGGCGGTAAACACCCGACCGGACGTCGCGTTTGCTACCGGGCAGCTGGCTAGGGTTGTGCAATGCCCTCATGAGGAGCAGGTAGCAGCTGGAATGAGGGTGGCCAAGTATCTTGGCCAAACACCGACCGTTGGGCTGCAATACTCGGCGGCGGCACAAAGGCGCCAAAAGGGCGCGGATGGTGTTGAACCCGGGCGTTTGTTCCTCACCGCCTACTCGGATGCTTCATATGCATCAGAACCAGAGGACATGACAAGTGTGGGAGGCTTCATATGCTGTGTTGGTGGAGGCCCAACTGCTTGGGAGAGCAAGAAGCAGGTTGACCAAGCTTTGAGCTCGGTGGAGTCCGAGTACATGGCACTCTTCCGTGCCGTACGGGAGATTGTGTGGCAGCGGCGCTTGTTGGCTGAATTGGGGGAGGAGCAGCAAGGACCTACCCCACTGTACTGTGACAGCCAGGGTGCCATTGCTCTTGCTAAGAACCCTGTGTTGCATGGACTCACGAAGCACATGAGGGTGAAGTGGCATTGGACGAGGAGCATGGTAACCGCGGGTGAAGTTGAGTTGCGCTACGTGAAGACCACGGGGCAGCCGGCTGACATGATGACCAAGAGGCTGGTGGAGCAGCAGCATTGGAAGTGTTGCAAGCTGGCTGGGATGGCTCTGAACTGAGAGAGCAACATATCCTAAGGCCAACAATCCGAGGGGGAGTTTGTTGGTGCAACCCTACGGTTTGCACTCGGCTTGTTGTCCGTGTGCGTGAATGTGTGTGTGTATGGAATGGTATGAGGGCATGGGATAATATATATTTCATGCTTAAAATTGTGTGTGAATGTTGAGTCATGATGTCTGTTGGTGCAACCCTACGGTTTGCACTCGGCTTGTTGTCCGTGTGCGTGAATGTGTGTGTGTATGGAATGGTATGAGGGCATGGGATAATATATATTTCATGCTTATAATTGTGTGTGAATGTTGAGTCATGATGTCGAGTGTGTGTGTCGAGTCAATAGCGAGTTATCGCTAGACGCGTGTTACGCGGTCGTTTGTGTCTCGCGCGCGGTTTCTATTTTGTCGTGCGCGGTTTCTATTTTGTCCTGTGTCGAACGTTCGGCGTGTCGCAGGTGTGTGCAGCAGACCCATCAAGAACTCAAGGATGAGTTTGTGATGAAGAGCCCGAGCCTTGGTGTCAAGCCTCAAGTGATTTCGAAGCTCGCCAAAAGGGTACACCTCAAGATATTGAAGATAGTTACATTACTTTGTGTAGTGTAACCTTTCACTTGGTGTAGGCCCTAGTGAAGGGTAGTTTCAAGACCCTTCGTGGTTGGGGACAGTGTGGCACTGTTCCACATCACTGTACCTCGGCTCTTGGGGTTTGTAGGAGCTGGGAGTCATTCCCAATTCGTAACTCTTCCTATCTTGTGTTCTAAGACTATAGTGGCTGCCATAGTACCGTTCGTTCAAACCGACGCTGTGTCGTCAATTCTTTATCAAATCGTGCAATCTAAATTGATAATTGTAGACGACGTGAAGACGCTCCAGATCCAATTTGAATAAAGTCATTTGCAGCTGTGAGCAGAACGCTATCAACGTTTGAAGCCGCTGTGCAGAAATCCGTCTGTGCTCTCTATCTTTCGTTTTAGGCACATTCAAGCCTATTGTGACTATAACAATGTCGAGTGTGTGTGTCGAGTCAATAGCGAGTTATCGCTAGACGCGTGTTACGCGGTCGTTTGTGTCTCGCGCGCGGTTTCTATTTTGTCGTGCGCGGTTTCTATTTTGTCCTGTGTCGAACGTTCGGCGTGTCGCATGTGTGTGCAGCAGACCCATCAAGAACTCAAGGATGAGTTTGTGATGAAGAGCCCGAGCCTTGGTGTCAAGCCTCAAGTGATTTCGAAGCTCGCCAAAAGGGTACACCTCAAGATATTGAAGATAGTTACATTACTTTGTGTAGTGTAACATTTCACTTGGTGTAGGCCCTAGTGAAGGGTAGTTTCGAGACCCTTCGTGGTTGGGGACAGTGTGGCACTGTTCCACATCACTGTACCTCGGCTCTTGGGGTTTGTAGGAGCTGGGAGTCATTCCCAACTCGTAACTCTTCCTATCTTGTGTTCTAAGACTATAGTGGCTGCCATAGTACCGTTCGTTCAAACCGAAGCTGTGTCGTCAATTCTTTATCAAATCGTGCAATCTAAATTGATAATTGTAGACGACGTGAAGACGCTCCAGATCCAATTTGAATCAAGTCATTTGCAGCTGTGAGCAGAACGCTATCAACGTTTGAAGCCGCTGTGCAGAAATCCGTCTGTGCTCTCTATCTTTCGTTTTAGGCACATTCAAGCCTATTGTGACTATAACACTCATTTGCCCACATTCTGGCACCAAATCCCCCTTTCCTCCATCCCCCTCCCGTGCCTTTCCCTGCTTCTGACATGCCCATGTACGCATGGCTGTATAATGTATCTCATTGTGTCGCATGGCAAGACTTGTTATGCATGGTTGGCATGGCATGGAATGGCATGGGAAGGCATGATACTGCCTGGCATGGCATGGCGTGGCATGCCATGGCTTGGCATGGCGTGGTATGGCATGGAATGGCATGGCATGGCATGGCAGGGATGTTTACGACAATGAGATAGTAGGGCCACTCCCAAGTTTGGACAATATGGCTAGCCTTCGATACCTGTCAGTGCTGCCAGTGCTGTCAAGCTTTCTTCCTCCTCTCCCACTCCTCTCTCCCTCATCTTTCCTTCCTCTCTCCCTCCTCTCTCCCTTCTTCCTTCTGCCTCTCTTCTCTACTCCCACTTCTTCTCTCCCTCCTCTCTGCCTCCTCATTTACTCCTCTTTGTCTCCCCCCTCTCTCCCCTCGATACTTCCTTTCCCTCCAAGGCTCATGGTTCTTGGGATGTTCAGGTCAATGTATTGTCTCGACTCGTCGTCTCATGGTCTTGACCATCTGCAAGCACCATTCTCTCTTCATGCATATATTGATCCCCTTCCCCTTCCCCTTCCCCTTCCCCTTACCCTTCACCTTCCCCTTCCCCTTACCCTTCCCCTTCTCTTTGCCCTTTCCCTTCCCGTTTCCCTTCCCCTTCCCGTTTCCCTTCCCCCTTCCCGTTTCCCTTCCCATTTCCCTTCTCCTTCCCGTTCCCCTTCCTGTTCCCGTTCCCCTTTCCCCTTCCCCTTCCCCTTTCCCTTCCCCTTCCCCTTTCCCTTCCCCTTCCCCCTCCCCTTCCCCTTGCCCTTGCCCTTCCCCTTCCCGTTTCCCTTCATCTTCACTGTGCTTCTCCATGCTCTGTGTACAGTGGCCGCTCATTCCCATGTTCATGCACAAATCTCTGCGGCTCATCATGTTCGCTGTACTTAACCACAATTTTCTCCCCACCTTTCCACTCAGAAACCTTGGGGGAAACCTCATTGACGCAATCTACTTGGATCCAATATCTGCTCTTACATCCCTCTCCTACCTGTGAGCGCCTTCACTCATCGCTCCAAGCACCTTATGACTTTGCCACTTTGTTGCACCGCACTGAACCTCACAGTGCCGCTCGCCATTGGGCTGCTCGACACCTGTATTCAGCATGCCGTTTTGCTGCCGGCCAGAATACATGCTCTTGGTGGCCTTTCTCTCACCGCCTTTCTCTCACCGGCTCTCTCTCATCGCCTCTCTCTCACCGCCTCTCTCTCCCTGCCCCTGACTGTCTCATTGCACCGCACTTCTCAACCATCTTGTGTTGATTTGCTCCTCGCTGGCTCCTCGTGCTTCGCGAGTGTATGCCTTGCCTTGCCTCGCTCCTCCTCCAACTCTCATACACAATCTGCTGATGCACATGCTACGTCTGCCCTCTCCCTTACTTCCAATCCACCCCGTCCCACCAACCTCTCCGCACCATCCATCCATTGTCCATCCGTCCAACACTCTCAACCCATTCCCCCTGCATCTCCCCCACCGCCCCATTCTGCTTCCTGACCGCTGGCAGTGGGCTGTCAAAGGCTGCTTTGACCGACTCCCCTCCCGACTTTCTCCTGGAACTTGTTAACCTTGAGGAACTGTAAGCCCTTACTCTGCTCTTGTTGCAAGGCCTTCCTCTTCAGTTGATGTCACGCCCTGCTCCTCCTGCTGACAGTTAGGCCAATTTCTCTCGCCGTGGATTAAACCGCATCGCCATACCTGCGTGTTGGGATGGGGTCTTCAGAATTCCATTGCATTGCAAAGCCAGTGTTGAAGCATCTCAAAGCTGGCTAGGATGAGACCCAGCCACCACCCTGTATACCCAGCCACCACCCTGTATACCCAGCCCGCCTCACTCCAACAACCTTTCTTCAACCCGTCAATGTGATCCCTTGTACCCAAGCCGCTCCATACCTGCCCTCTATTAATTCGACAAAAAAATCGCTCCTGTGTATCCAAGCCCTTCCTCACCTGCCCTGATTTTTGAGGCAGCTCAAAAGACACCTGCCTCCTTCCTTCAAGCCCCTCCCCCTTCTTCTCCCCTCCTCACCTATTGTGCCTTATGAGGCTCCTCAATGCCACTCCACCAACCTACCTACCTCCGATGTTGTCGCTGTCAAGCTGCTTGCTTGCCCATGCCACCTTGGCCCCTCACAAGGCCTGTCCTAGCCTAGGTTCTCCCAATCCCATTTTCTCGTAACCTCATGCTCCGTCTTCCTTGGTATGCTTTGAGATGTCTCATATTCTCACTATCTCATGTTTTGTCTCCATGAATCGTGTTCTGCTTGTCGTTCCCTTTACCTCTGCTTACGTCCCATGCACTATGTATCATGCATCGGCCTCTGCTTGTCGTTCTATCTCTCCCTCTGCCTTCCCCTCTCTGCCTCTCACCCATCTGTCGTCCCCACCACAGTGATCTTACCAACAACTGGTTCTCTGGCCCCATTCCCGATTTCCTAATCAACCTCCCGCTGATCAAGTCACTGTAAGCAAGCCAGTACCACTCTCAGGACCATCGAAGAGATATCACACAGGAGGATTACACGACCCTGCACCCTCTCAAGGGCTGCCCCTACCGCAGCTGTCTACGATCCATCCAAGTATGCTGATAAATTTGAACGGTCAACAAGACATTCCCAAGTCTCAAGGATCAATAGGGTACAGTGCACCCCCCCCGTGTTTTTGCAGGAAAGGCTGGTAAGCCAGCGTTTTCCCTTTCTTTCTCTCTCTGACCACATAGCCAACACACCGCATAGTAATGAGCACTGGGCGAACCGCGTTTAGTTTGGTGTGGTTGCGTATGTTTTTAACCGAACCAAACCGATATTTTCGGCCAGCCGGTTCGGTTCGTTACCAAACCAGTTCATTGGTTCGGCCGGTTTGTTGGCCACCCCGCGCGACCGTTTGAAAGAGATGGGATCCACAGTGCTCACTTCGAGCGCATGTGCTTCCCCTTTCATCGGCCTCCAAACCACTACCTCGTTGACTTTTGAGTCGACTCAAAAGTCAACCCTTTCATCGGCCTCCGAACCACTACCTCCACCTTCTTCCAAGAGCGTGTTATTCTCGATGGTAACAACTCCACCCGACGCCTTAACTCTCTCAGCCACCACTAGCTGCTTCCACTGCATCATGAATCCTAGAGGGAGCCTATCGGTGCTTGCAGCGGTGGACATGGTAAGAATCCGACGGGTTGTTAGTTCCATTGCACATGTATGCATGCACGCCGCTCCATCAGCAGCACCCCTGCTGAAGGCACATTCTTCGCACCTCAAAGCCGACGCACTAACCAAGTTACAGCATCCACACCCTACGCAGCAGAACGGCTGATACCGACAGCACCGCTAATGTCCTGTTTTATTCGCGCCACTGCTGGCGAGTGTGAGCAGGGTACCTTCCCAACCCTCTCATCCCTGTAGTCTCCTGATGCCCTGACTCACTCTGTAGTTCCTGTGTACGTGTGTGCATGTGCATGTGCATGGGCATGGGCATGTGAATGGGCATGTGCATGGGCATGTGAACGCATGTGCATGCGCAGGGATTTAAGTGGTGGTGGCTTGACAGGATCAGTACCGATTCCAAGCGACTTCAACACTGCATTCACGTACCTGTGAGAACCCTCTTTGCTCTTTTGTAGCCTCGACCTGGAGTTGAACTACTCTTTTCCACCATTTCTTGCACACTCTCGACTCTTTAGAATGTGCCCTCGCCCTTGCTTGCTTCTCTACTCTCACTTCCACTATCGCTCCATCACACACCCACCCTCCTCCTCCGCCCCGCCCTTCCCTCCAACCCCTTCCCCCCCTTTTTACCCGTTTGTTCCAGCAACCTGGCAAGAAATTACCTCACGGGTCCTATCCCTGATGACATTTCCAATGTTGCGGGTGCAGTCACCATGTAAGGAGATCCTTTCTCAGCGAGAGTAGCTCTCCATATGAAGCCCACTCCCCCCACCTCTCCTTCTCCTTCCCCCTTCCTTCCATCTTTCCCTCCTGTTCTTCTCTGCACCCTCGTTCCCTCTTGCCCCCCTTCCACAAATCCACAATGCTGGCTGGTTTCTTAACAACTCTTGATTCTGCCATTTCCCCGTGTTTCTTCTGGTACCTCCCTCCCTCCCTCCCTCCCTCCCTCCCTCCCTCCCTCCCTCCCTCCCTCCCTCCCTCCCTCCCTCCCTCCCCCCCTCCCTCCCTCCCACATTTCCTTCCTCCCTCTCTCCCTCCTTCCATCCCTTCCTCCCTCCCTTCTTCTTTGCAGTGATTTGTCAGGCAACTCTCTTGATGGCTCCATTCCTGCTTCCATATTCCACCTCCATCGCCTGCAAAATCTGTGAGACACGCTGTGCCATGTTATGCTGTGTAATTCATGCCATGTCATGAATTGCATGGTAACATGCCACACATCACCCCATGCCAAACATCACCGCAACACCATCACATCCACCTTTCGAGGTGCCGACCCAACCAGAGTCTCATGCTGCTGCCCCAACCCCAACCAGAGTGCTCGGATCCAACCAGCTATACGGCGATATTCCTCCCACTCTCTCCCAGCTCACGGATCTTAAGAAACTGTGAGTGCGAGCAACCAAGCACGCACACATGCAAGCACCGTGGAATTATTGCATCATATTGCTTCTTCCTCTCAAATAATGGAACGTCGGTGTGATTCTCCCCTTTTCCCCTGCCTCGTCTCACTTGTCTTCTGCAATCTGGCCCACTCCAGCCTTCTCAGTTTCCACATATCCTGGCTTAGAATCTACTCTGCCTCTGCCCGCGTATACTCCTGCCCCTTTTCCTTACTCCCCTCCCTCCTCCTTTGCACGTGCAGGGATTTGAGTAACAACCAGCTATCAGGGCCACTGCCTACCATCCTTAGTCGAGCCACCTCTCTCTCCCACCTGTCAGTCCCCCTCCCGCCCATCAGTCCCCCTCCCATGCTTTGTCTGAACTGTAGAGAAATATCAAGCTTTTAAACCATCCATCGCCCTTCCTTGAGCGTTTATATATCACACTGCTCTTGTGGTTGTGCTTTGCACTAGTACAACTCCCTCACCTGCGTCTTCTCCTTTTGTTCTTTGCCTCCTCCCCCATCTAATCGGCTCAGAAACGGACCCCCGATTTCCTCCCTCTCCCCCCTCTCCCACTTTACTCCCTCTCCCGCTCCTCTCCCGTTCCCCCTCTCCCCCTCCCCTCTATCTCCTTCTTCCCCATCCCCAGCGACCTCAGCAGCAACATCTTCTCGGGATCGCTGCCTTTGGGCTACAGCCGCCTCTCACAGCTATCCACCCTGTCAGTACCACGCAGTAGCGTGTGTGGCTTCATCCCATCCCATCCCATCCCATCCCATCCCATAGCATCACATTGCATCGCATCTCGCTCCACCACACCCCATCCAGCCCATTACTCTGCATCTCATATCAACTCATCCCTCACCATTTTCTATCTCCCTTCCATGCTCATCCCTCCCTACAAAACTCACCTCTCACCACCGAACCGCACCCCATCTCTTCTTGCAGGGGCCTGTCGTCCAACATTCTCTCGGGCCCCATCCCCGAGCCGCTTATCGCTGCCCTCACAAACTCACCTCGCCTGTGAGTGTGTGTTGATTCTCATTGAATCCTCTTGGTCCTCTTGGCATGCTTTTTAAAAACCCTCTCTGATTCCCCTTCGCATCTTCCTTGTATCCTCCTTAAATCCCCTTTGGATGCTTGAGGCACATCCAAGCTAATGCCACGTTCCCTGGTGCCCCTCACCAGATAGCGCGTGTGTGGAGCCATATGAGAGCTGAAAGGGATGGGTGGACCATGGCTGTGTGTGGGGGGGGGGTTCCGTATAGCATTGCTGTGTTGTGTGTTTGTTTTCAAGGGCTTAGGGTTTAGGGTTTAGGGTTTAGGGCAAGTGCCTTCCCATGCATGGACCACTTGTCTTGCAGTCAAATTGCAAGCACTTGCTTCTCCTCGTTTGTTTCCTCGTGCGTGTAGTCTCCTGTATACTGTCTTCAAATACTCGTGTTGTTTTTATCGGACCATAAAACCTTCTTGTATCTCTCTCCTCGCTCCATTACCAAAGTGGTTACTCACAACCGCGCCGTGTCTTGCCATGCCGTTACATCGCATGCCACACCACACCACACCACACCACGCCATGCCATGCTGTGCCACAGGGACATGAGCCACAACCAGCTGTCTGGATCCATGCCTTCGTCCCTCTCCCTCCTCACCAAACTCACCAGCCTGTTAGTCCACAACCTTTCCCTCATCTTGTGACCTTTTCACCCGTTCAAGCTTAGCCATGTCCTCATGTCCGCATCGGTTCAGTTTCTCATGTGTTAAAACCACTTGACATCTGCCTCCATCCCTCTCCACTATCTGTCAGGTCCCACAAACTCAAACAAACAACCCCCCTCCCCCCACCCTTCCTCCTCCCCTTTTCCTCTCCTCCCCACACGTACCTCCCCCCGCCCCTCTTCTCCACCTTTTCATCCTCCCCTCCACCCTCTCAAACGCCGGTGGGAAATACACGTTTCTGCCTCATAGAAACCTGAGCTTCAACCGTCTGTCGGGCACACTCATTCCATCCATCAGCGCCCTCACTGCTCTGCAGGAGCTGTAGGCTCTCCCTCACTGCACTCCCGTTGCTGCACTGCTCTCTTGCACATGCTCTCGTTCTCACATCACTCTCGTTTCTGCACTTCTCTTCTCTCACATGCCCTCACCAACACTCCCGGCAAGCACCCTCCCTTTCGTGTGTCCCTATAGCGGAAGGTACTCAATGATTTGCTGTGCTGTGGCCTATCTCTTGCCCATTCAAATAATTCTTCGCAACATAATCTTACCGATAAAGCGTGATTCCATCTACATGTCTTTTGCCTCGTCTCACGTCCCCCATGGCACCACCCCGCTGTCTCTCATGCCATTCCCGCTTCTCTCCGCCTTGTCTCTTTGACTCTCTGTTTCTCCATCTTTCCATCGCTCTGTTGCTCTGTCTCTCTGCTCCCTGTCTCTCCACTGATTTCTGCAGATCTCTCTCCAACAATGCTCTCACAGGCTTTATTCCAGCAGCAGCCATCGCACAGATTCCCAACCTGCAGAAGCTGTATGCACGCCACCACTTGCACCCCACCGCTTGCACCACACATTCACAGAGTGATTTGTAACCGGCCACTCATGAACAACCAAGTAACCACGCAAGCGACCTGTAGAAGTCATGTGCATCACAACTCTTGCGTTGCAACAGGTTGTACAAGGACTCACGCTCTTGCCGTGCCGTGCCATGTGATGCCATGCAGAGGGACACGTTTGTGTTTCCGCCCTTTAGCTCTTGCTCTTAATTTCTGTCCCTCTCCCTTTTGCTCCCTTTCCCTTTCCACCGTCTCGCTTCCCCCCTCTCCTTCCCCACCCTCTCCCTTCCCCCTCTCCCCCTTCCGTGCTCTCCTTTCCCCTCCTCTCCTTTCCCCTCCTCTCCCTCCCCCCTCTCTTCCTTCCCCATCTCTCCCTCCCCCACCTCTTTCTTTGCCCACTCTTCCTTGCCCGCTGTACGTGTGCACGGCAGGGACCTGAGTTACAACCAGCTGTCAGGGACTGTGCCAGAACAGATCTCTGCCTTGACTGCAATCACCAACCTGTACGCCCACTGGCTGCTGCTTCCATCCGCACTCCCACATTTGCCCGTGCCTTGCCTTGCTATGCCATGCCATGCCATGCCATGCCATGCAATGCCATGTGCAAGCAGACGGTGTCTTGTCATTCTCTACCTTCACATGTGCCCATGCCATGCCGCAGTGCCACCACTGAGGCGGTACCAACTTCCAACACCTCCCTACCCCTCCAGCCCCTCCCACCCTCCCACCACCTTCCATTTGCTCCTCCGGTCCGTCCCTTTCACCTACCACTCCACCCCATCCACCCCACCCCTCTCTGCCTTCACCCGCAGCGATCTGAGCCACAACAACGACCTGTCCGGCCCTCTTCCAACCAGCATCAGCAGCATGACAGACCTCAAGGCCCTGTGAGTGCACTACGCTGCACCACTGCCCTCTCTTGTACCCTCCCTTTCCTGCTTCTGTGACTCCGGTAGTAGGGGCACAGCTTAGTGCTCTGCGTGTAGCATGTACGGGGGAGGGAGGCATGCCTGTCAGACAGTCCTTTTCATTGAATAGTACATCGGGGACAGCCAAGGGCAGGTGAGAGCGATAGGGCTTGTAACCCCACTCCGGTTTGACCTTCCCTCCCTTCCCCCCTCCCTTCCCCATTTCCCCTTCCCTTCCACCTTTCCTTTCCCCCATCGCCTCCTCTCCCTCCCTTTAATCCTCTCTTCCCCCGTCCCCTCTGACGACCACCTCGTGCACGGCAGCAATCTGAGTGGCAACGAGTTTACCGCTCCATACCTGCTGAGTACTCGATCTCGCCAGCCTCCAAGTGCTGTCAGTGCCCCACCAACCCTCTCTCTCGCCCTGTCCTCCCCCCATGAACCTGCTCTCCTTCCCTCTCTGCTCTCCTTCCCCCTCTGCTCTCCTTCTCCCATTTTCACATTCTCA